GCGGTAATCCCTCAGCTCAGTTCTACGTCTGAACTTCCCAAACTAGCCTTTGATCAAAGGAACCATCAAAGGTGCGCAACGTGTATCAGGTGCCAAAACCAGGCCGAAAAAACACGTGAACAGACCGCCATATTTACAGTTCGTGGAACGATACATACTGTGAATGCCAACGCATTCTGGACACGCCATTGACGGATACTGAATCGTGATTGGCTGTTAGGCTCAGACTTTCGGCCAATCAGAACTCGCCTTGATACCGTATCCGGCATGCGGCACAATCTTCTGGCTAACGACGTAAGGGTTAGGATTCTTGGCTTTAGCACAACCTAACTGCAAGTGGTTTTGGTGCAGGGTTTCGCCTAACACCAGGATTTTCTGTATATGCCAGAACGTCGTTAGTCCCAGAACTTTCCATCACAGCGAACATATGAGCCTCGCATAGTGTTGTTCAGATTGGATGAAGAAATCCACTGCGTACACACAGAGAAAATAATCGGCTCTGTTAGAACGGCAAGAATCCGGTCAGTAAATTGCTATTATCTAGGCCATCGAATCAGTAACTTTGGACAAAAGCCAATCAAACACGCGTTTGGTGTTGTCTGTGTTCATTTGCAAAACGGTTTTGCGCTGACCGGATGTGTATGTCATAAGAAATTGAAATAGAATCACCAAGATAATTGTACATGATGGGTCTGATTTCTAGTCATTGGTGCAGAAGACCTAATGAGGCAATAACGATGCTTAGGATAGATCTTGTCTCAGTATTTCGGTGGCTTGTTCAAGCTCTTCATGATGACTCTAATCTGCTCGCAGCTCAAAAACGGACCAACGTTTAAACCTTGAAAAAAATCCAAAAGCATATGTTGACGGAGTGCATCCACAAGACTTTGATCCAGTTCAAAGGTCCAAGCAAGTCCAAACCATATCAACCGCTGGCTGTTTGGTGAATTAGATATGGATCTCTTTGGTAATTGATCAGGTGGCTGTTGATGTGTTCGCTGACCGACTGCCAGTGTGGTCCCATTTTAAATCAAACACGAGTTGAATCTGGACGCAGATCACGATCGAATCAATAGGATTTCAAGCGTGATAACGATGGTCCATAGTCAATCAAATCGCAACTCAAGGCTGCTGCTTGCAAACCCAACGCACTGAGGATGTCTTCTCGAATGGTGACGGAACGTTTGCAAGTCGATTTTCAGCTTAGACTAACAGATCAACAGCCACCTGACCAACTAACAAGGAATACACCGAAATTCCACCACCTTATCAATATGGATCTCTAGTTCATAAAGGATACATCTCACAAGGCTGCTGAAAATTCGCCGACAGCCCACCACCGGTTTCGCTCTTCTTGGGGCTCATCAGGTAGGCGCAGCCCCCGAGTTTCCGTCAACCTTATCGTTCTACTTGAACCCAAATTGGGCTGTTTTCGAGAAATACACTCATTTTCAAATCAATTTGGTTTTCACGAGAAACTCAACTGACTCCCTCGTTTATGATGTTCACGTAGAACATAAGGTTGACGGAAACTCAGAGACTGCGCCTACCTGATGGGCCGCCAGAAGGGTGAAACCGGTCGTGTGTTGTCGAAGAGTTTTCAGCAATCTAATGAGTGGTTTCATTTATGAAAATATACTGCGACATCTCGAAT